CATTGGGTAATGCATTATACTCTTCCCCCACCCACCCACCCGCTGGATGCAGAGCTCCGTCATCTCCAGTCAATGGTAGTATTGAGGAGTACAGGAGTACAGAGGAGGGAGCAGAGATCCAGTTCCACTGTCATGATGGATACACTCCTAATGAGAGGATGTCATCTCAATGTCTCAACTCATCATGGTCCCCTCACCCAATGGACCTAGTCTGTGTCTTACCACCACCTAAACCACCAAGTAATGACTATGTTTTCCTGTTTTGTTTGCCTTTCCTTTACTGACCACAGAAAGCATTCATAACAAACCTCAGTGTGTTTTAAAAACACTCTTTGGGAACTGTGTTTTCGTCTGTTTTTGTAACACCTTTATAGACAAGAATTGTTCATTGAGGGACTTGTCTCCCTCTCTGGTTGAGGAGAACAGAGTGTGTGGGTCAGTGAGTGGTGGTGGGGTGTGTTACAGTGGAGACAGTGTAGGATCAGTGGCAGTCTACTTCTGTGACGATGGCTATAGTATAGAAGGAGACACTACCAGAGAATGTCTCTCTAGTGGCCTCTGGAATGGAACCACTCCTCAATGTGTGGAGGCAGAAGGTATGCCATTTTTGCTGTTATGAACATTGGCCTACACACTTTATGTTTATCTTAGAATGTATTGGTGATGATATTGGCAGCTGTTCAGGGGTTAATGAACCAGCAGTTGTTGGCAGTATTGTGTGCAGTGTTGCTATTGGAGTTCTACTGGGAGTGGTGGGACTTTACTTCATACAGAGAGTGAGGGCCAGGATGTCAGGCCCCACCTCCTCCCCTCCCCCTCCCCTCCCTCCACCTGTCACCTATGAGGAGGTGGGTGTGGCAAGAGAGGTCAAGAGTTCACAAGACATTCAGCTGACCTCCAATGAGCCATATTGTCAGAAGAAGGAAAACATTCCCACATCACGTAACACAGTATATGGACACGTACAGCTTTGAAACTTCATAGCTCTTTAGCTAGCGTAGTTAAATGAAGTTTGTATAGCAACAATATCACTATTGCAACCACGTGCCTCTGCAGTGAATGAGTGCCACACCTTAATTAACATGGGCTCCTCACTTTTAAAGCATGATTGGGTGAGAGGATCAGCATAATGCCACTGCGTCATGATAACTAAAGCCTAGAACACAATACTCAGATGGTGTTGAGGATCGAACAAATAATTAGCTGCCACTATTACACAAGCTCTGTTAAATGTGCTAGTGACAGTATTACTCTGTTTGTTCTATTCTATGGAGGGTGCACTAAAACCCATTTTATGTAGAGCTTGATTTTTTTTATTGCAATAGCTACGTAATTGTCGTCGAGATTGTTGAAAAGCCTACGGGTTCAGTACTATAAATGTCACCGTCGTGGAGCGCCTAGTACGGCAATCGCTACATGGAAGTGCTTGAATGAAGTAGCTAGCTGCATGGTCAACACGATTGAGAAGGTAGCGAGTTCCACAACGAAATAGCTTGAAAAGTGCTGTTGAGTATCGTAGTGCCTGGTCAGACCCCCGGACAAGCCAGCCACGCTGCGGTCGCGGTGTAGCTACTAACTTCCGCGTCCGGTCGATGAAGAACGTCGTCTCGTTTTCGGGGCGAGGCCGCTAGGGCGGCGCCACTGATCGCGCGTGCGCATTGTGCCGGCGCGTCCGTAGCTAGCCCTTTTCTCTATGCGTGGGGTATATAGCTAAGTTTGACTCTAGTTTGGGTCGTATCGTAGTGCAATGTGGTCGCAAGTGGTGTGGGTTGTATTTTTCGCTCTACTTTCTGAGACAGTTCATGGCGGTCCAGCCGAACCATCCGCTGGTGAGATGGTTACTGCAATCTCGCTAATTTTTCAAAACCCAACAGATGGTTGCACTGATGGAGACGTAAGACCGGTGAGTGGTACGAGGCGCGATGGACGGCTGGCCACGGGGGATATTGCGGGATCTATTGAGATCTGCGAGAATCAGCTCTGGAAAAAGGTTGTCTTGTGCCTACCTCATGAGCAGTGGACAATGAAACTACCGCAGTGCCTGCAGGGAACTAGATATACTGCTCTGGAGGTCAGGAGAGTAGATAGAGCTGGTACAAGTACGCGCGCGTAACGCGACTGAGCGAGAATGATTAGCTAGCTAGGTTACTCTTCTTTCTCTGTAGATGGCATTTCCAGTGGTAGGCAAGTGGCGGAATCAAGTAGAGAGACTGTCATACACGCTCAGTGTGGTGGACGACAGAGAAAGAAAGACTGAGGCCTTCTGATTGCTCTGCTACTGAGCAACAGTGGGCAGTTGTGATGCTCCGTATGTGGTGATCAGGTGCTCTATGAGCAGCTCTAACTCCACAACTCAACTGTCTTCCACTAGGACCGCTCCCAAACTGTTAGCGTCATCAACCAGCCAAACTTGTTCAGTCCAACATTCGTCAACTTGATAATGCCACAATGTTAAACCCAGCCCTCTGCAACAAACGGCATCTTACACTGCCACCTACAGTTTTGTTACGGATTGTTCCCTTCTTCCTCTGCCATCTTCTCTCACTTTATGATGTCCTGGAGCTGTGGGTGTGGACAATCGGAGGTCTTGTGTGGTTCTTCTTCTCGCAGCAGCCGTGACGCTCTGGTCCTTCTTCTACTCTGCAGAAAGAAAAAAGAAGTTTGTTACCTCAGCCTGCAGTGTATGAATGCCGTCCTTGCCCAGTGTCACCTTGCACAGAAATGCACTCTTGCTCAGCCATATGAGTTCCAGTCTCAAATAAGACGAGGAATTACTCCAATTCTCAAGAGTGCCGAGTGTTTCACACCTATAGCTGGCCAGCCACCCCTTATGATGGACGATTATAACAGACGATTCACTTTCCAGCTCCAACTCTACGGTCACTGCCAGTTCCATGTGTGCTTCAGTCCACCTGAGAGAGTGATGCCTTCTTCGTTCCAAAGCCCATAAAGTAGGGGCCAATCTCAAGGGGAAGTGTCCCATCTACCACATGTGGTCATCTCAAGAAAAAGTGCGGGCAGAGTACCATACAATGTTCCATCACAGCACCAATACGACACTCTGGGAGAAAAAGTGGCTGATGGACAGATGTACTGCTCTAGAGAGACAACACAGAAAGACAACCGGAGATCTTGACGGAAAGAGTGAGTATGACGTTCTCGAGCCTCAAAAGACTAGATTGTAGTGGCACTACTGTGACCCTGTGAACCATATCTATGGTGACCGTCGCCATTAGCATGAGCCTAGCTATTTCTTCCCGACTTATAAGCCCGTTATGTCTTTGCATCTTGTCCATTATGTGTATCCTCAAATGTTACTTTCATTGGCGAACACACTAAGCCAAGTTACTCTTCCTCGCCCCACTGACTACAAGTGGGTGGAAACCTATAGTTTACTTACCCCACACGGGTTACTTACAGATAGCAGGACATAATATAAACAACTGGTGTCTACCCACCCATAACCTTATTAGACGCAGTCACGCGCAATTGACCAATCAGATTACAGAATGCGGGGGGTTTATTTTTCATAGACACCTCGTTTCAGGTTGTCTATGCGTTTGCAGGTGGTCTACAGCAATCTCCCGTACAAAATGGTATTCTCAAAAGTCGTATCTGCGCAAAACTGGCCGATTCCGCGTTCGGTATATGTAAGCGTAGAGGCGCGACTGGCCAAAGTAGCTCTTTTAAAATGCGTAGTGCACTCAAGAAGTCTGTGGACAGTCTCGGAGCTCGCGAAAGTCAGAAATCACGTCAGTATTCCACGAAAAAAGCGTCGGCTTCTTCAGCTATGGCGATACACAAACACATGGGCCGTTGCCGTGGTTGGCTAAACCTTTTCAAACGCGCACACACCAATGAGGGCGTTTTATGATGACGTAAACGATTTTGACGGGGGGGCGGGGGCTGTCTCCTCGGAGTCTCACACGAAAGCGTCGTGTTCCATCCGAAGGTAAGGAATGAGGAATGAGCGCAGCGTTGCTAGCTTGTTGCTACCCATTTGAACGACGCAAACACCAATCAGATACTCCGGTCTAAACCGGTTAGACGCAGAAGCTCGGTTGTCTACGCAAACATTGCAACCCTCGGGGCATGTGGGGTAGCGCCCTCGCTGCGCTCGGGACGCCAACATTCCACAGCCCCTCGGGTTGCAATGTAGCGTAGACACCTCGCTTCCGCGTCTAACCTATATGTAAACAACCGATGGGGAGCTATGTTTACAAGCTAAGCCCCACAAAACACAACTAACATTACAGCAAGAGATGCAGGAGGTTGCAGGAATGCTCGATGTTGCGATTGCATGGAACGCCAAACCAAGCCTACCAAAATTAGAATGCGAAGTCGGTGTCGAAGTCCCAACTCCTCGGTCAACCCTACTTATTACTTGTTCAAAGTAGGATTGTCGAAGTGCCAACCCCAGCTACTTATTACTTGTTCAAAGTAGGATTTAGACCGACAGGCCGAATTTGAAGTCGGATTTCAGCCTACTTCGAAACTCTTGATCATTCGTGCCAGCTTCGCTAAGAAGCTACCTATCGTTGAAAGCCACATCACTGCACCTTTTACCTATAAACTGAACATGAGACTTTTGTTTGATATGGCTTTGCCTGAATTCAAGCTTGATGTACTGGGATGCCATGCCATGCCGCTCGCTACGCACGCATGCGCGCCGACCGTTGGGGAAAGGCAGACCCTCTCTTTTCGCGTTAGGGTGTGGCTTGCAAGACTCCGTGGGAACGAAGCTAGCAACTCTGTAGACACTTACTCCCGGTGTGCAGCCGAATCGTGCATTCTTACGCACTGAAGTGGATGTGCATGTGCGGTACGCTAATTGATGGTTGAGCCAGGAGTATGCGTTTACTCGTGGTCTCCACGCTAGTAGCTCGCGGAGAGTCTGACACGGGATAGCTACACTAGTAAGTAATGGTTAATGAACGCCGGGGCGCCTCCCGCGCATGCACCAAGACGATGCGCGCACGCGACGTGTGGGATCGCTCGCATGCCAAAGTGTTCTCCCCTGCGACTCACCACAATAAATTTCGCTACTGTACAAATTTCTCCTAGCGCCTCAGTTGAGAAAGGTGTGCCTCCTGGCCTAAAACAAGTTCTGATGAACGCCCAAAGAAACAGCTAGGTGAGGAATAAACGGATTAGTTTTTCCGGTGTAATTCTCCGCCCATAGAAGTCGTAAGTTCGCGACCGTCTGCTGAGCCGAGCCGGCTATAGATATTACAGCGGGAGACCATCTATGTTTATCCCACCATCTCCATCGAGAGTGAGCATGTACAACAACACGAAGATACTATTGGTACTGTTGATACTACTACCAGGTAAGCATGATAAAAGTTCAGGGGTTGCCGGTGATCAGGACAACCATTGTTACAGACTTTACTGTTAGCATCAACCTATCGTCCACTCAAAATGGCGAAGGAGCATGTCTCGGAGATGTTCTGATCTTTAGATGTACTGTGACTGGATTTGGGACACTTGTATGGTATCTGGGTACTGTTCGCGTGAAACACTTTACTGTACAGGATGAACCAGGGAGTGAACCAGGCCCAGGGTCATTACCTGATGTGGCTAACGTAACTCTGGTCAATGTAGACAAAGACCCAACACATCCACTGTTAGGAAACCTCACTTCTGACCTTACTGTGGTTGTTAGCAATAATACCGTTGAGAAATATGTGAACTGCAGTAATGGCCGAAAAAGCAAAGAGATTCTCATCAAGAAGCAATGTAAGTGCTCAACATGCTGATAATGCTGCATGATTATCATGCATTTGTTATCTACTACAGTGGTACAATTACCAATTGTCATCAAGGAAAACATCACAGGTGGTATTGGTGAGTACTCATTCAGACTGCAGTTACAGGCTCAAAACAGATTGTACTCATTAAACCTCTACAACAATGACACTCCTGTCATGAACTTTACAGCAGAAGGTTTGGATGTTTCCATACCAGGCTTGAAATATAATACCAGATACAGCTTTGTTATGACCAATGTCAACTGTTTTAATGAAGAAAACACCACGACACTGGAGATTTCACAAGGTGCAGTTGAATTGTATCTATAACATACAGAATCTCCCATTATTCTACTTCCTCTTTCCCCCAGCTGGCTGCAGAGCTCCACCATCACCAGTCAATGGTAGTATTGAGGAGTACAGGAGTACAGAGGAGGGAGCAGAGATCCAGTTCCACTGTCATGATGGATACACTCCTAATGAGTGGATGTCATCTCAATGTCTCAACTCATCATGGTCCCCTCACTCAATGGACCTTGTCTGTGTCTTAACACCACCACCTAAACTGCCAAGTAATGACTATGTTTTCCTGCTTTGTTTGCCTTTCCTTTACTGAACACAGAAAGCAAGCCTCAGTGTGTTTTAAAAGCACTCTTTGGGAACTGTGTTATTGTATGTTTTTGTAACACCTTTATAGACAAGAATTGTTCATTGAGGGACTTGTCTCCCTCTCTGGTTGAGGAGAACAGAGTGTGTGGGTCAGTGAGTGGTGGTGGGGTGTGTTACAGTGGAGACAGTGTAGGATCAGTGGCAGTCTACTTCTGTGATGATGGCTATAGTCTAGAGGGAGACACTACCAGAGAATGTCTCTCTAGTGGCCTCTGGAATGGTACCACACCGCGATGTGTGGAGAGAGAAGGTATGTCTTTTTTCTTCTTGTTAACGTTGGCCTAAAACACTTTACGTTTACCTTAGAATGTATCTGTGATGATATTGGCAGCTGTTCAGGGGTTAATGAACCAGCAGTTGTTGGCAGTACTGTGTGCAGTATTGCTATTGGAGTTCTACTGGGAGTGGTGGGACTGTACCTCATACAGAGAGTGAGGGGCCAGGATGTCTGGCCCCACCTCCTCCTCTCCCCCTCCCCTCCCTCCACCAGTCACCTATGAGGAGGTGGGTGTGGCAAGAGAGGTCAAGAGTTCACAAGACATTCAGCTGACCTCCAATGAGCATATGGTCCTATACATTAAGAAAATATTCATGTCTCACAATTCACAAACATAGTTAATGGACAGATGTTAAAAAACCTTCCTCTTTGCTTTGTGCTCTGTTTCACAAACAAGTGTGGCTCAAAAATGTCGGCATTTCCTCCTCTTTGATAGGTTTACGATAGCTACGATGGTACCCTGATCAAATTATGGCTGGTGGAAACTGTTGCCTGAGCTCAATCATAGTGTAGTCTTGTGCGTGGAACTGCATACGCCCCGCACAAACAAAGGCACAACAAGAAGTAATAACACTGCATGATAAAGGGGCAAAACTTTGTTCTTCCAACAAACAATTTCAAACAGTATAACTAAAGACTTTGGTTTCTGTTCACTCTGAGGCTACAGGGTTCATTCCTCCCTCTCTGGCAGTAGTGTGGCCAGCAGGGACCTCTGGTGTCCCCACTCTCATGGCCTCAGATTGTGAATGGAGAGAGACAATCACAGCATCCCTGTCAGCAGGCTCTCTCAGACTTCCTCCCCATCTCGTTTCACCTCCGCCTCCTCCTCCTCCTCCCGTCCCCTGCTGGTTCAGTAGTCTTGCTGTGGGACTGCCCAGAGCATCGTAGGATCCGTAGGTCTTGGCACGAGGTTTGTAACTATTGCTAGGGACATTGTCTAATGGTTGTGGCCGGAACTTTGGCTGTGGAGGGTGGGCGAGTTGTCTGGTGTTTTTGGACGGTCTCTCGTCCTCACTGAGAGTGCTGCTGCTGTTGGGAGCAGACAACAGTGAAAGTTGAGAAAGAGGAAAGTGTACAAACTAAGGCAGGGTCCACAACAAAAACACACTAGCTATATAGCTAGCAGCTACTGTACACTATGGTGTATCGATCATTTCAGCTGAATGGTCATTACTATGTACCCAGTTTGAGCATGCTGCAGGGAAAAAGTGATCAGTGTAGCTAAGTGTCCATATAGCACACTACTCAAGGCTTTATTGTCTGATACGCCCACTTGCTGCTTAGTTACACGTGCGCAACAGAATTGGCTCAATATTCCTGCACGCACAGTGGTAAAAGTGAATCATGATAAGTGAAGGCAAGCAGTATCAGTTGGAGTATGTTCCATGGTCAGACCTGATGTGGTGTTGGGATGGGTCCCTCCCCTCCAATATCTCGTAGGACTTGTTGCGAAAGTGTCTGTGGAGGCGGCCTATTTTGCACAGCATCCCACCACATATGATGATGATCCCCAGGATAAAGAAACTGGCAGAAATGCAGAACAGCACCATCTTGGCCTTCTCTGAAGAAAAAGAGGTCTTTTCTCTATACTTTGCTAAAGAGATGAGGATACTGTTTTTACCTCTCAATGGTGTCAAAGTTTCACCGAGATCACCTTATTGTAGAAAAGAACAGGTATAGCTGATTATCAACAAATTAAACTGTAAACAACTCTACAGTGCACATAACATGTATGTAAAGTCAGAGCTAGTCGAGCAGAGTGGAAGAGAGAAAAACCACTGGCTGAGATGCAATTATCACAACTACAATGACATGCTTGAAAAAAGAGCTGCTCTGGGTGAGACTCACACAAAACACAAAACCATAGCACTCAGCTGTGTTGGCTTTTTCTACTGAGTGAGTTACTAGGGAAGTTGAGCAGGCATGATTGCCACACTCACAGTTGAGGCCAGTAGAGTGGGTCACGTGGGGAGGATGGAGAGGTCGCCCGACCCTCCCTGATGCAGACAGGTCGTACACTGCCACATCCAGTGCCGTGGTCCTGGGCTCCATTGGTAAGTGGAGCGTCCCCATGAGGAGACCTGGGTCCTGGGAGATGTTGAACTGCCAGGAGTGAAGGTGCTGGCTGGTGTGAGTGGCCACAATCTTCAACTGGACCTGACAGCCTTGCGCCGTGGACCCGGGTGCAAAGTAGCATGTGACAAACATGCACTCTTCTCCTTCGACCACCTCCACTGCCTGTACCGCACTTGTGTCTGTTAACAAACATAACACAACTATAATAGTCTCAGTCCCAGATCCCACACTTCTGTGAGGAAAATAGGGTCTATATATAATATTATAGTAGGCTAACGTCAAATTCTCGATTGTGTGTTATCAGCTAATATAGTGATGTGGTTGCTCCCTTTCACTCGTATACATCCTCACATGTTCTCTGAACGTAATCTCATTCGCAATCTGACCCACTTTAGCTACCAAAGACCCTCTTTATTACGGGAGCACATAAGGTTCTGGGCACGATACTAGATGCTAACATAAATCCACAAACACAATATGGCATTCTTCTACACTCTAGTGTGTGTGTATGAACCTCTACTATGTAAGCTATATTCAACCTGAAATCTTCCTGTAATAATGCCATGGTCATGTAGACCCCTGGTAGATGAACAAGCCTTCACCAATAGAGCACTACAAGGCTACAACCATTTTGGGAACCCACAATGAGCCTCCAGACACTCACAGACATCCACTTTCTTTGATCTGACACTGATGCGATCGTTGTAGGCCACCACGGCTGCAGTGTAGTGCTGGGCCTTGTGGAGACTGTAGACGGTCACGTCCAGCACGTTCCTACAGGAAGACACTAGGAAGGGACCCTCCATGTGGAACGGCTGGGTGGAACCGTCCTGCCAGAGGAGCACCGAGTAGTTGTACGACTCTCCCTTCACACACTGACTGTGAGGCTGGAGTGTCATATATCAGCAGTTATTGTGTAGGGCTATCAGTTGTAGATACTGGCATTGAGTGAACAAGCACAATAAGTGAACCTGTGCTCGTTATTGATACAAATTCATCAGCCGTACGCTGTGTAGTTTTTAATGTGTTTCACGTTCACCCAAAACACAAGGGGGCTCTTAGTATGAGAGCCCCCTCAATAGACCCTATAATAGTTATGCGTGTAGCTAATCGTGTTGGGTGTACAACACCACAGTTAGTGCTGAGTCTCAGCTGACAAGGGTGATAATAGAGATGGGGACTTGACAGGGATGTTGAATACAGCAATTTGTATGACCCTATTATGCAGAGTACGGCTGTGAATACAGCTCCATATTCAACCAATAATCCTGGCTTTCTTGAAGAATATGATCACACTCTTTTGCTATGCGACTTTACATAGCTGCATACAGAACTCAATCTATCTATATACAGACTTACGTGGAAAGTAAAGGTTGCCTGCACATCCTGTACAATGCCTTGAAACTCCACAGACACCCTAATACTGGAAGTCAGCTGCATGTCGTAGAGAGCTGTAAGGGGAAAAATTCTCAAGGGTATAATATAGCTAGCTAACTATACAAATATAGCTAGCTATACCTGGTCTGGGGTAGAGTGGTAGCATACCAGTGGACAGTGCTAGAATCAGAGAGAGAAAGAAGAGCCGAAGAAAGGGCGTACGGCATTCTAGAGCCATCGCTCGTCCACTGAATCTTCCACAATTCTCGCCCAACACTCGCCGGGCCACGGCGTACGCTGGTACGCATGCGCAGTCATATCAACCAGCCGAGCGGGCATATCCTTTACCGAAACACGGCTAGCTTTTCTTGCTCTGTAGTCACACAGTTCTCGCTGTACTAGTCCCATTTCTCACTCTATGAGCGGAGTCAAGATAGTGTAAGCCAGTAAACACAGGGAGTTGAACTATAGCCTAAGCCCTTCTCGTTGTCTCAGAATACAGACTTGCTACAGACACAGACAATTGAAGCGGTCACAAAACGTTGGCTTGACCTGGGAGTTTTATTGTTGTACTGTACAGCTACTTGACAACTTGTATAATACTTGCAATGAAGCACAGCCACTCTATTCTGATAGTGTGAGCATCATCCCTTTGCTTTCAGATTCCCCACAGTACTAGTGATAGGGCCACCATCATAGCTACCTACACCCTGTGGTAAGCAACCCTATTATTGTAGGCTACAAATAAGATGTGTTCAGTTTTGACATCATTCTTTGTTGTAAACTAGAGCACGTCTTTAGAGTTTACCAAATATTATAGTCCAGTCAATACATTTTGCACACAGTTACAAATACAAAGGTCAAAATAATTTTCTGGCTTAATAATTAACGCACACATAAAAAAAGAGTCGGTAGTATATATAATAATTATAGAGCTTCAAAAATGCTATAATCCATGTCTCTCTGAATCAATCTCAACGGGTGGTTCGACGAGTGGTCCTTTTGGTTCCTTTCGTTGTTCGACGAGTGGTCCTCTTAGTACCTTTTGTGGTTTTCTTTGTACTCTTTGTGGTCCCTCTGGTCCTGGTGGAACTATGGGGCGTTTCATCTTCGACTCTAGTCAGCTGGGGAAGGCACAACTGCGGAGCTAGCACTGCTCCCCTTCGTCCTCTGCGGGTGGCTGTACGGCTAGTCCCTGTTCCTGTATGGCGAGTCCCTGTTCCTGTTTGGCGAGTCCCTGTTCCGGTATGGCGAGTCCCTGTTCCTGTATGGCGAGTCCCTGTTCCTGTATGGCGAGTCCCTGTTCCTGTATGGCGAGTCCCTGTTCCTGTATGGCGAGTCCCTGTTCCTGTATGGCGAGTCCCTGTTCCTGTACGACGAGTCCCTGTTCCTGTTTTACGAGTTGTCCCGGTCCTAGTTGTACTGCGAGTTGTGTCCTCAACTGTTAGGGAAGAGTTTCAATTCTTAAAACAGTCACCATTAGGGTGGGAGGATGACACGGGGTGGCTAACTCACCACAGGGCTCCAGTTGCTGCTGGAGTCTGCAAGTGAAACCATTTCCAGTGTAGTCACTAGCACATGTACACCTGTAGCTGCCCCGAGTGTTGGTACAGTAGGCATGCCTATGACAGCCATGGCTCCTGTCCCTGCACTCATTGATATCTGGAAACACACAAAAATGGGTTAGTTGGCAAAAATGAGCATGATTCTATGAATGTCAGTGGAATGTTGCAATATTGTTTATTCCCTCACCCATGCATCTCTGGCCCCAAGGCTTGTATCCTGGACCACAGACGGGCTGCTGCTGAGCAGCTGAGCATCTGAATCCATCCCCAGTGAATCCCTGGTTGCAGGCACAGGTGTAGCTCCCGGGAATGTTTGTACACCTGGCGTTCTGATGACAGGTATTACTACCATCTCTGCACTCATTGATATCTAGAGAGTGCACCAATCCATGTCAATTACGAGGTAGGCAAAGTAAACAAGTCAACTATAGCTACACCCAGGACAGCTTTTTTTCCAGAGTTGCCCTAGGTGGGATTTGAACCCACACACTGCAGTCTAGGCAAGCACTCTACTTAGCTTCAAACCTCAATACAATACAAATGCAAGCCACAAACCACTGTGCCAGAGTTATCAGTCTCACCCATGCACATTTGGCCCCATGGAGCATAGCCAGGGTCACAGACACACCGGTAGCTGCCATACTTGTTGACACAGGTGGAGTGGGCATAGCATCTGGCTGTCCCTTCACTGCACTCATCCAAATCTGCATGTACAATATTGACTTAATGAGCAATGCACGTATAGGTCACACCCCTGAGAGCCCTTGAGGTATGTAGCTATGGTGTTACCCAGTTAAAACAATCATGCATCATCAAAGGTATATATATATACACCGACATTTGCCCTTCTCTACTATGGCAGTTCAACCAGACTCTCTCCCTACCTAGTTAAGCAAAACCACCTGCAACCAAGCTATTATATAGCATTGTGATTATAGTATATACCTCTGCAAGTTTTTCCATCTCCTCTGAATCCATTCCTACAACTGCAAGTGTAGCCGTCTTCCATGTCAGTGCAGTCGGCGTCCGAGCTGCATGTGTTAGAGCCATCCTCACACTCGTCTCGGTTCTCCACTGACAACAGACACTCAAAGGAACCGGGATTATTCTCACAGACAGTATTGTCGTCACAGTCAGCAAGACCCTCTGTGCATTCATCAATATCTGCAGAGAAGGGAGTATAATAATATTCGCTTAAACCCTCATTCATAGAATCCTGTTTTGCCGCACTAACCTCTGCAGGTGAAGCCATTTCCCTCGTAGCCTTCTCTACAGTTGCACTCGAAACTTCCAATGGTGTTGACACAGATGGCATTAGTATCGCAGTTGTTCGTGCCTCTAGCACACTCGTTTATATCTGTCAAGTTACAGTGAGGGTCATGGTGTTGAAAAAGATTTTATTTTTACCTCTGCATATCCTGCCATCTTGCTGGAAGCCAGTCCTACAGTTGCAGACAAAACTTCCATCGGTGTTTATGCAGTCAGCGTTGACGTCACAGTTGTCAGTACCAGTGGCACACTCATCAATATCTACAGCAGGATGGACCCAGAATTAGTAGTAGTGATGGGTCAAATGCTTTTGCTGTCCTAACCGCGGCACACTCTGCCGTTTCCTTGATATCCAGGACGACAGGTGCACGTGTAGCTCCCTTGTGTGTTGGCACAGATGGCAAACTCACTACAATCATCCAGCCCTCGTACACACTCATTGATGTCTGGCAGAGAATAACATAAGTTTAGCTATCACTGATCGCTATAAGTGTGAGTTTTCCAGTACCTGCGCATATTCTTCCATTTCCCTCGTAGCCTTCTCTACAGACACACTGGAAGCTGCCCTGTGTGTTTCTGCAGTCAGCATTTGGATCACAATTGTCCGTTCCCCTAGCACACTCATCAATATCTGCACAATAATTACGAAAAGCTTTAACTTTCTTATGTGACAAAATATGCGTACTAACCTGTGCAGGTTTTACCATCTCCAGAATAGCCAGGTATACAAGTACATGCGTAGGTTCCGATGGTGTTGGTGCACTGTGCAAAGTCACTGCAGTCGTCCACATTCCGAGCACACTCGTTCACATCTATACCGTACACAAGTACATCAGTAAGTATGGATGAATAAGTGAAACACACCTCGACATGTTCTGCCATTTCCTTCAAAACCTTCCCTGCAGCTACACTGGAAGCTTCCCGCTGTGTTAACACACTCGGCGTTGGCATCACAGTTGTCCCGATTAGTCAAGCACTCATTGATATCTAACGAGGAGATGTGCCCCTATGATTACGATGCTAGTAGTATGGTAAGGGAAGTGGTGGCTGACCTATACAGACTCGACCATCTCCCTGGTATCCCGGCAGACACTGGCACAAGAAGCTTCCCTCCGTGTTCCGACAGATTGCCAACTGATCACAGTCATCCAGTCCACGTGTGCACTCCTTGATATCTACCACGGATTGGATGGTTTTCTTTAGGGAATGTAGCAGTATAATATTATAGCTAAGGCTAAAAGTTTGAAACTGTTTCTGAAAACAGAAACATAATTGCATTCTTGCACTGGGCCCTACAGTGTAATTCCATCTTTTTTGTATTTATGTACTAACCCCCTTCCCCTTACAGTTTACCTTCACAAACTTTCCCATCTCCTTCATAGCCGTCTCTACATACACAAGAGAACGATCCTTGGTCATTGATACACTCTGCATTCACATCGCAATCATCATCTCCAATGGCACACTCATCGATATCTAGAAATATAGAGGAAAATAACATATCAGTTACTGAAATAAAGGACCCAGCAGATTATTTGAAGGTGATTTGGGTTAACCGTACCTAAGCAAATTCTTCCATTTCCCCGGAACCCGGTGAGACAAGAACACTCGTAGCTACCATCTGTGTTACACACGCACCAAACTGACTACAGTCATCAGTTCCACGTGAACATTCATCAATGTCTGTGTCAGAAACACAAGTAGATTAGAGTTTTGAATGCAGGGACATTGGCTAATTTTGAACCTGTGCATATCCTGCCGTCTCCCTGATATCCTTCTCTACAGTTGCACTCGAAACTTCCAATGGTGTTGACACAGATGGCATTAGTATCGCAGTTGCTCGTACCTCTAGCACACTCGTTTATATCTGTCAAGTTACAATGAGGGTCATGGTGTTGGAAAATAGAAATTAATTACTTTTTACCCCTGCATATCCTGCCGTCTTGCTGGAAGCCAGTCCTACAGTTGCAGACAAAACTTCCATCGGTGTTTATGCAGTCAGCGTTGACGTCACAGTTGTCAGTACCAGTGGCACACTCATCAATATCTACAGCAGGATGGACCCAGAATTACTAGTAGTGATGGGGGCAAACAAATGCTTCTGCTGTTCTAACCGAGGCACACTCTGCCGTTTCCTTGATATCCAGGACGACAGGTGCATGTGTAGCTCCCTTGTGTGTTGGCACAGATGGCAAACTCACTACAATCATCCAGCCCTCGTGCACACTCATTGATATCTGGCAGAGAATAACATCAGCTATCATTGATCGCTAAAAGTGTGAGTTTTCCAGTACCTGCGCATATTCTTCCATTTCCCTCGTAGCCTTCTCTACAGACACACTGGAAGCTGCCCTGTGTGTTTCTGCAGTCAGCATTTGGATCACAATTGTCCGTTCCCCTAGCACACTCATCAATATCTGCACAAATCATCATAAAATCCCGTCTTGGGATACAGTGGATATGGTCATACCAGAGCACTGTCTGCCATTTCCCTCGAATCCCTCCAAACAGCGACACTCGAATCCACCACTCTGCAGGTTGATACACTGAGCAAAGTCGTCGCAGTTGTCCAACTGCTCAATACACTCATTCACATCTGGAGGAAAATTAGAATACATGAGTCAAGAGAGAGATATCGTATGATCCAGTCAGCTAGTGCACTGCTCACCTCTACACACTCTGCCGTCTCCCTGAAAACCAGATCTGCACCTACACTGGAAGCTCCCAATGGTATTGATACAGTCTGCATTCACCGAGCAGTCATCTCTGCCAGTAGCACACTCATCCACATCTGAGAGAGTGGGTGCAAAACGATGTGCAAAGCAATGGCATATTGTGAGGGAGTAGACTTATCATGTATTTACGTCATTATCCTAGAACTTTCTGTAGTCATATGTCATCTGTACTGTGATTGGTCAGTAGCACGTAGTAGGCGTGAGTCGTCAGTCGGTGAGTTTTGTATCGTGTGTCAGTGTGTCTGTCGCCGATCGTGGGTCGTGTCTGTATGTGTCACAGGACGGTGCCTGTATCTTCATTAAATCTTATATTTTACTAGACTGCGCAGCGGCACCATCACACATGTTAAGCAAGTGTGCATGCGTATGAGACCCATACGTTGTTTATACCTGTGCATATGGTTCCACTCCCTTCATATCCTTCTCTGCACACGCACTGGAAGCTAGCGGGAATGTTCACACAGTCGGCATTATCGTTGCAGTTATCTTGGTTGAGAGCACATTCATCAATGTCTGCACAGGAATACATGCAGAGAGCAATAGGGACTTCTGACGATGTTTGGCTACACATATACATACCTCTGCATACTCCTCCGACATCTTGATAGCCTGGCTGGCAGACACATTGGAAACTGCCGGCGGTATTAATGCAGACTGAGTTCAGTGAACAGTCATCTCTATTAGTAGCACACTCATCAATATCTTAAAGGCAGAAGAGAAACGTGCCATCCTACAGTGCACTTGTGGAAGATGCAATATACCAGTGCAGAATCTCCCGTTTCCCTGATAGCCATTGACACATTCACACTCATAGCTCCCCACAGTGTTAGTACATTCAGCCAGCGAGCTGCAAGAGTCCAAACCCTGAGCACACTCATCAATGTCTGTGTATTCAAATGCAGGGCATGAGACACAGTGTGTACTGAAATGAGTAGTATAGTGTGAGTATAGCTGTTCTGGTCTCACCGATGCAGTTGAGACCGTCCCCATCATAGCCTGTGCTGCAGACACAGAGAAAGGTACCAGGGAGGTTGATACACTCTGCGTTGGGGTGGCAGTCATCCCTTCCCAGCGAGCACTCATTGATGTCTGTCAGAAAACGGCACATGAAATTCTCAGCCTAACACACACCAAATGCCAGATACAATACCGAGCAAGATGCTTAGAATCCAGGCTCTTTAAATGAGAAAAAGTAGGCACTTAATTAAAGGGCCAAGGTCTTAGTTACAGGCTAGATGCTGATCATGCACAACTGACCAAAGCAGACTTTCCCATCTCCCTCGAAACCCTCATTGCAGGTGCAGCCAAACAGCTCAGGGGTGTCGAAGCACTGAGCATCCTGGCTACAGTCATTGTTACCATCCACACACTCGTTGGAATCTGAGCAGGAGAAAAAGGATTATTATTATTGATTACCTAAGGCATACTTACTGATAAAAATTTGGGCAGACTGGCGTGAGCTGACAATTTCAACAATGCCAGATGTCAGTTCTGGCAGGGGCTCTAGTGACACACTCAGAATCTCTGTGTTTTCTGCCACGCCGTCCGAAATGGCCGTGAAACTGTAGCAGATCTGCCGCATGTCAGTTGTCAGGAACACGATGTTAGTAAATATCGCGTAATCTCGGGCTGTTAGTTGGAACACAGGACACTCGTTTCTGACTCTGGATCGATAAAATGATCCACTTACAATCTGCGGTATCAGGAATGGCTGATAGGGTAGCAAATGCCTCAACTCCTGTTGAAATCTGCTCGGGACCCAGGAGAACAGCACAGATGTCAGTCGTGTCTCCCTCATTGATGCTGTACACTGTCCGTTCCAAACCAATCCGGATCTCTGCAGATACACAATTATTATTGGCTCTGGGCAACCCAGCTAGGGCACACCTAAGTGCAGAGGACAGTTACAATTTTTGGCTGCGAGCAGGTTTGATTTGCGAGTCATATAGTGGCTCAGAACAAACACAAAACACAGCTTCCAAGTCCAATATCAACAGAGACTCTCCCTCTAGATTGTACGCTATACACCTGTACCACTCCTAAAGTTCTTCACCTTCGTTTTCAGACCTGACATAACACTCACACGTGTTTGTTAAACGATGCACTGAGACACGTTTTACAGCCAAGTTTTCCAATGTGTTAGGTCCAATGTTCGAGTCTAAACATTACTTAGCCTCACTTGACGCTACTGAGATGTGAAGAATCAAAGTACCGAGTGCATGGCGATGCTGGCACAGTGACACCCAGAGTGTACGTGCTTTGCGAATATTAACACTTTAATGTGCCAAAGTGTGGATAAACTGGTTAATATATCAACACAACTTATAATGAGAGCAGTAGCGATCTCTAATGCTGAGAGTTTGAGCCACACTTAGGATAAAGCCTAAAACCTATTGCAATCATCAAGTTGAATGTGTAATACATAATAGTAAAAATGGAGTGTTAAATATCCGTAGGTAACTCACCATCTTCGTCGTTGATGGTAATTTCGGCTCTGTTTGTGTCAAGGAAAACAGTCGGACTCTCCACCACCTGGAACAGGTTCAACTGGAACATCTCTGGAGGCTCGGGGACAGCGTCGTTGATGATCCTGAGTGGCACAGGCAGCGCAAAGACATCGGGAGGAAACACGAGTCTTATTTCAGTAGCTTCAAAGTCCTCTCCTGGAAGGAAAGAGGAGCAGGTGAATGAATTGATGGCCACAACTAGGGCCACAAATAAAGCTGGAGTACATTAGATGTTGCTAGGGGTACACCAAAAAATTCTGTGCATATCATCAATGAACAGAATGCACAATACAACTTAAGTAAAAAAGTGTGCTTTGCTATGTTTTTTCATGGAAAACAAAATGTTGGGACTCCTTTTCAAGTAAAAAAAGGATCATAGTTCTGTGTTTATATTATACCAAGCTCGGCTGTGAAGGGGACAGGATCAACAAGAAGTGTGAGAGTCTGCTCTGAGATGTTGCCCTGCTGTTTCACCACTCTGATAGAGTCTCTCTGTAACCCTGCATCCTCTGTGAAGGTGTAGGTTGCGCGCTCGAACCGGAATATTATACCTGTGTAGTGTAGGCAAAAGAGGGAGTGAAAGTGAGAGAGAAAATGTTTACTTACGGTCATCATCGGTGATACGCAGGAGAGTAACTCCTTCGTCTTTGTATCTAACATTAGCCAGATCAGATGGATTGCTTCGGGCCTCGTTAGCCCTCACTACGAGTAAAAACCCCTCGTTTGCCTCGTTGATTCGATCGTCGATGATTGGGATGAGAACTTGCTGATCCACAACCCCATCACCAGCTGGTACGACAACGGTACGTATTGTATTGTCGAAATCTCTCTTGCCGTTTACTTCGTCTGTAAGGAAGGGGGCATAATCCACAGCTGACATTGAGAGAGCAAGGTACAGGGGGACACAGAGACTTACATTCAGCTGGATCGATGATGTTCAGCTCATTGAAAACCGCTTCGTTGGGCAGAGGGTAGCGAGCTTGCTGAAACTCTTGAAACGTGAGTGGAGTGAGTGTGAGAAACAGGGGACTTTGCAAGAACCCCATCTTGGTCACCACCACCTCAAATGCCCTCTCACCCTCTACCACCTGATAGTCCAGCTCACTGAAGAATATCTCAACATCATCGGGATCTATATTTCAACAGGCATAAGAACGACTGAGTTTTTCCATGTTGCTAGCTAGCTAACTAGCTACAGTGCAGCACTACACAGTTGAAAATGCAGGTATGAATTGTTCTTTGGATTATTGAGCTAGGATTTAGCCAACTACTGCATTACCTGTCTCCTGTGCGCGGTTGAACGAGACTAAAAGGAGTATCAACACACTCAGCGATAGAGACTTTATCTTGCACACGTGCATCTTCTCCAGAACTAGCAAGCTAATTAGCGTGCATGCGCGTGCAACACAAAAAACCGCAGGCTGCTCCTCGGTTTTATAGCCGTCTAGCTGTTGCGTCTGCGCTACGGCACATGCTTTGACGGTCAAAATGAAAGTGGTTTGTGCCCACGCCAGGTGGGACGACGCGCAGTTGGAAGAACATCACGCCACAAAAATGTCATTTAGCTCCGTTCAGCTGGCATTGCGTCCGCCCGCTGCAAGAATGCACGAGGAGAGTTGTTGAGGTGGGGGTGTGTGTAGTCTGGATAATGCAGCTCTAAGTGATGTGTCAACAGATAATTTGTCTTCTGGGTGGATAATCGAATTAACACAGAGAACTAGGGAGAATTAGAATGTCAAAAGCCTGAAGAAAATTAATGTATTGGAATTTGGAGATTCTTGAGCTATGTATTACTAAGACACGCCTACCATAATTCACTGGCATACACTAATAGAAGCTAACCTTTGGATGATGCTCTAATGAAATACCTGTGAGAAAACAGTACCTGTTCCCTGTGGTTTGAGCAACACCCTTCATGCCTTTCCCAGGTGGGGTAATTCAGTTCCCTTAGAAAACGCTTAGCCTCTGATATAATCCTTGGCTGATAAGATGGCTAAAGTGGCACACTTTTTACAAAAAAAGATTAGAATACACTTTCTGTACACAAAATGCTACTCTTCATATTCGATGCAAACAGCATTTCATCGTCTATAATGGCTCCTCAATTGCTCCACAAGGATGCCATTGGCACTTTTATTGGTCACCTTTATTCATACGCCATTGCCAAAAGCACACAAAGCAGATCATTAGCGATTAAGTCTACTATGAGAGATGTGGGAGAGAGACGTATTCATGTTTCACGGAAAGTGTTTGCTGGACCCACTTTTTTGGCCCTGGATTGGAACTGTTTAGGGTCACTCTCCTGTTTGATAATTGCGTGATGTTGTTCCCGTGGCCTTACAGGGATGTGTATAGCCATGTATTGAATCTTGGCCAATAACAGTATTCCTTTGGAACAGGATAAACTAGGCATGACTGGTTCAATGTCATATATAGACAATTATTGGAGAGCTCTGTATCAATTATGTAATGAGCCTTGTATGCCAGTTTCATGATTTTCTTTTTCTGCTTCATGTCCAAGGTAATGGGAAAACTTCAAGTGCGTACACACAAATGTCCACGTGTATAGTTCATAGCCATTATTGTGGTGATAGTATAGGTTGGTATCTTTTGTGCAGCATTTTGGATAACTGGTATAGTGTTTTGTATACTATTATGCTCTTTTATAGCTGGCATACCAGTTGCATGATAAGATTTTGTGTTGTTTGCAGTGTATCAAAGCTAATGGAATGGCTGAGCATGTGCACCAACGTGTGCAAGTGCTTGATTATCTATCAATTAGGTAAGCTTTGGCTGAACTTACGTGTTTGCCACCAACAACAACCCCCGTCTTCCATGGAAACCACACACACTACCTCACCGGCTGTAGCAGATATGTGAGACACCGTCGTAAGGTTCTTACACACGAGGGTTTCTGTTGGATCAGCGGGCATTATTCGACGCACAAAGGTGTAATTTGCTAAAAAATTTAGCACTACTTGTCTATCAATGTCAGATGTTATTGAGTAATGTGGAGCGGCAATAAAAGTGCTAAAGTTGCGCAGTCGACGGCAGAAACTGTTCAGAGAAAGGATGCTTAGATTTAGAATAACAGGACTGTTGATACTCTACGTTTCCCTTAATGTCCAAGCAGGTAAAGTACTTCAAAAAAATCTCCAAGTTAACGATAATCACTGATAATTTTCATTCAGAATTGAAAGTGGGATTCACTGAAGTGATCTTCCAGGGAAGGGAGAGCCAGCCCTGCCTCAGAGTGGCGATCGCCAGGGAGGGAGAGCTGAGTCAGGACGTGGAGGTGGGAATCCACCCACTCACCTACCAACAATTCCTGGAGAGTGGCTTCTTGCTGCCTGATGTTCCAGAGCTTCGGGAGCTGCCTGACCCTGCAGAGTGTGAGTAGAACTTATCATTCTTTAACTAAGTCTTTTAGAATTCTACGTATGTCCCTCGATGCAGATGAACCAGAGGGAGAAGATTTTAGTACTGAAGTACAGACAATAACTCTCCGGTGGGACTCGGAACATGAAGATCATCTGATTTGTATCGCACTCAACCCTGACACAATCAGTGAGGCAAACGAAGGGCTTTTTCTTGTCCTGAGCATTGACGAAAATTATGAAGTTCTTCAAGAGAACCAAGTGGCTCTGGCAGTTATTCTGGACGATGATTGTAAGAATAACATCTACACCTTTCTGACAATCTTTGACCTCACTCATCCAACCCTCTGCAGCTGTGGTGGTAGGGTTTGAACAGCTGAGCTACACATGCCGAGAGGGGGAGCCTGAAAACTCATGTGTCATCTGTGTGGCTCTTGGGAGTGCCACAGAAATGGAAAAGGGCCTGGAGATTCCTCTAATTTCCCTCACACATTCAAGCACAGCAAGAGGTAACTTCAGCATTTTCACTATTATAATTATTATAGCCAATATTTTTGCCTGTCAAAAACTATTAGTATCTGTATATTATTCTAATCTTTAGTCAGCGAGGACTATCTTGATGCTAGTCACGCGCTAGTGCTCTCGAGCAGTCAGCAGAGAGCATGTCTGGAAGTTCATGTCCTGGATGACGACGTGGCTGAAAGAGAGGAAAGCTTCACGTGCGTTCTCTCACAAAGTGACTCACAATCATCGCCAACATTACTGCTGGAGAGAGGAGTTACCAGCATCACTATCCAGGATAACGAGGGTATTGATCTTTGTGAGGAGTTGTAAAGCAATATTTCTAAAGGGAATCCATTTTCTTTCAGTTGTGGGTGTTGGGTTTGAACAAGATGAGTACGCATGCAGAGGTGGCCAGAGAGAGAGGTGTAGGGTGTGTGTCTCCATTCTAAGCTCTGCTTCTCATCTGGATCCTACACTCTCTGTTTCTCTCTACCTGGCCAGCATCTCAAGGACTGCCATTGGTAGGTAAAGTATCATTATCACAACTCTGTATACCTCTACGAAACGAAAAATTTCTAAAGAGTAATGATATGCCACACTGCCTGCAGCTGGCTTGGATTTTGAGGGAATAAATGAGAGAGTAACTCTGTCAGCTGCTAGTCCGAGGGTGTGTGTTCCAGTGCAGACAGCAGACACTAATAAGAGAACAAGAGACAGAAACTTGTTTTTCGAGTGTATTCTACTGAAAAATATCCAGCTCCACTCGTTTTCAAACGTGTTTCTGGAGAGAGAGACCACTACGGTGAAAATCAAAGGCCATCTAGAAGGTAAGTGTTTATGTGAGGAATTTATTTATTGGTAATTGGCCACTCATGTGGGACATACCGCACATTGCTTGCGATCTGATTCACACATGAAAGTAAGGTGGGGTGGGGGTGGAATGCTCTTGGTATTCGAATTCAGCTGCAAATAGCTTCCAATCCACGCAGTTTGGCTCACTGTAGACGATGACCGTGTATTATGTAGGGGGCCGGTGTCTGGGCGTTGGTGGAAAGCCAGTGTGTCATAAGAAAGCTATCTGCCATGATGAGTTGGAGGGAGGGGTTCTGTGCGAGTGTCTGGATGGCTACAGGGGAGATGGTGTCTCTTCCTGCACCGGTATGAGTCATAAGCCACTTAGGAAACCACATCTCAAGGTTTATGAAATTGAGCATCATGTTGTGGTCAATAACTGGACCCACATGCATAGTATATAGCAGCTAATTAATACTCCCCCTGTGATTCAAAAGGAAATAGCAAAGTAATACCCAATGGAATGCTACTCGGGAAACCACTCTCTTTCATAGCCTTCAGATAAACGACGATCCAAGTCCAGCTGTTAACAAAGTAATACCCAATGAAAAGCTATAGTGTAGGACTCAGTCTCTCTTTCACACCAAACTTAGATCTTCGATTTTCTTTAAACATGAGGACAACAACACAGTAGATGAACTACATGTTTAAATCCTGGCACATTTCTCTCAGATGTGGATGAGTGTGAGGAAGGACTGGATGACTGTGGGACTGAGGTGGCCTGTCACGTTACCTCAGCTGGCAGAGAGGTGTGCCGAGCAGTGGCTTCGTGTGTCAACACCCATGGCAGCTACCGGTGCACATGTGCCACTGGCTATACTGGAGACGGGAGAAACTGTACTGGTAAGTCATCAATTTCTTCATTGCCAAATTGCCCTAGTGTTTACATTGTGCTCTGAGTTCAAAGAGGACGTTTAATTTGCTTTAGCTAAAAATGTGATTTGTCATTCTTTGGTGTTTTCCGCTTACATGTGTACACACAACACGCAAACTTTTGGTATGCTATCTATATACGAAGCGGTTTAGGAACAGATGCACAAACCTGAGAAGGCCCTATTTAGGAATGCACATACTTGCCGTTCATGACCAGTTGCTAAGCCACACAAACTCTCACGCACAATTAGTCACCCAATTCATATCTTATTGGCATTCATTCACGGCAACTAATGCCCTGTTTGTTGGCACCTTTTGAGAGCCTGAGAGTTCCTGTCCTGCAGCCATTGAACGCCCAGTGAACGAGTGTCATCAGGGGAAACACAACTGCCACCACAACGCTCACTGTGAGAACACACCCAATGGTTTCCTGTGCCACTGTAGACGTGGATTCACTGGAGATGGCATAGAATGCACAGGTATATACACACTTTCATCATTGTAGTTTATGATGCTCAATAGCTGGATCACCATTTAGAATAGTTTCAAGGACCTGTTATTATTTTTTAAGCAGATGTGGATGAGTGTAAGTCTGGAAGACATGGTTGTGACAGCACCAAGTTTTGCCACTACTCGTATGCTAGCGGCCGTGTGGAGTGTGTCCACACTGCCGAATGCATCAACACACACGGATGTTACGAATGTAGTTGCAGAACTGGGTTCACAGGAGACGGAACTGCCTGTACTGGTAAACACATTGTTATTGGTGCAACTGAAATATTGCTATGTACATGTACTGTCCCCCCCACATTTGCAGATGTGAACGAGTGTCAAGGGCCAACCGAATGTGATGCCAATGCTAACTGTCTCAACATCCCTGGTGGCTACCACTGCCAGTGCAAAGAAGGATATGTTGGAGTTGGAACTCTCTGCAGAGGTTAGTTAAATCACTCTCTGATAGTAAAAGCACCGCAGGAAGTGTTGTGGGTAGGTTCAATACAAACAAGTACTTATTAGGACTGAGCCTCTACTTATGAACTCACAGCTGTAGCCTAAACTTCCTCAGAGAAAGTGGGTTAGTTTGCTTGGAAAACGGGGGAAGTGGTCACTGAATAGCTGCTTAGTGCCAACCCGACACAAGTCCCACTGCTTGTTCTTGTCATCTTACCAATTTGTGTTGCCAAACTTGGCACCGCACATTTTGCCTCAAGCTATATGTATATACATCCATGCTAATAGTGCACTTGGTTGCTACTGAGTGTGTGATTGTGGCACTTAAGTCTTGTTTGCCAAGTGTCGATGAGTAAGAACTGTCAAACCTTGTTATACTCCATGGGGTAAGTCATGAGTCACCCCTGGTGCAACATTTCCGCTGCATTAGAGCATGCACACCTTGTTATGCAATGTATAGGCGTACATGTAGAGTATAGTTCACCCAAGTTTAATCTTGTTAACCAGTGCTTGGTGACCATGTTGCTCAGGAACGTAGCTATGTCTGCGCTACCAATTTGTTGTACATGAACTAACAGGGACTTTGCCCCTTTGTAGAGTGAGAATGTCATGCTACAACATTTTCAAGCCAATTGTTAAGTGTGGATATTGCAGTGTTGGATAGCTCTAGGACTCACTTTCCAAAACATGATTTGTTTGTCTCAGAATCATGCCAGACCCCATCAGGTTTTGTCCATATTTATACATGAATAACAAAACTAACATTCTTTTATAGTTGCATCATGACCATGAACTTTAAACAGCTTATGATAGCACACTATAGCTCTCATTTGCATTTTTCTCTCCTGCAGCAACAGCTGTGGCTAGTGGGTGTGGTTTGGAGCCCACAATCTGCAGTCTTGACGCAGCATGTGAGGATATTGAGGGAATCTCTCTGTGTATCTGTAATCCTGGCTTCGAAGGGGACGGATACACCTGCACTGGTACGCACACATACATAGTGCTCTGCACGTGCTAGCAACCGTTACCTTGTGCACATTTCGTACACAGGAATGGTAGCTAACTGTTCTTTGTTGAATGTCGCAGATGTGGATGAGTGTGTAAGACCAGGACTTGGCCAGTGTGGTCCTGGTGCAGTGTGTAAAAACACTCCCGGCAGCTTCCTGTGTGTCTGTCAAGAAGGCTTCGTGGGAGATGGCCACAACTGCACCAGTGAGAGGGAAATAAGTAGCCAGCCCATGTGTTTAATTCTATTTTGTTGTCTGTCACAGGAGTTCTTATTGACGAGTGTGCTCTGGGAACTGACGGTTGTGCAGAGTTAAACTCAGTCTGTGTTGACAAAGAGGAAGGCTATTCTTGTGTTTGCAGACCTGGATACAGGGATACAGGCTCCAGTCAATGCACTGGTAAGACCCTGAGTGATTAGCAAGCAAGCCAAAACATGTCCAAAATCTCTTATGTATAGATATAGATGAATGTTCTGAGGGTTTGGATGGGTGCAGCTCTAGTGGTAGGTGTCGGAATACAGAAGGAGCTTACGAGTGTTACTGTCTTCCTGGATATGAAGGAGATGGATTCACATGTAAAGGTATGGTATAATAATTATACTGACCGATGGAGGCTTCCTGTACTATAATAAGGGTGTGGTTTTGCCGTGTTTGTCACAGACATTGACGAGTGTTTGCAAGATCTGACAACATGCAGTCCTCTAGCAGAATGCACAAACACAGTTGGGAGCTACGAATGTGAGTGCCTGGCCGGATTTGATGGGGACGGCAAAACGTGCACTGGTAAGAACAAAGTTGCATGACTCACTGCTTTAAGGGTGTGAGCTTCATGTATTGGTAATACTCCTTTGAAACAAGTCTTTTTTTCTGGTGATACAGACATTGATGAATGTACGTTGGGAACTGACGGATGCAATGGCAGCACCTCCCAGTGCATAAACAGCCCTGGTAGCTTCCTGTGTGTTTGTCTAATGGGTTTCAGAGGAAATGGACTCATATGCACAGGTATTTCCTCCCCAACAGGTGCCCTCTTAGACACACTTTACACTAATGGCTTTGAAGACTAGTCCTCTCTATATATCCTCCTGGTGCAGACATTGATGAGTGTGCTGAGGGACTAGACAACTGTGATACCAATGCAGACTGTGTCAACACTGATGGGAGTTTCCTGTGCATTTGTCGGGAGGGGTATGAGGGAGATGGCAGGACCTGCAGAGGTTTGCAGCCTTCCCACACCTCTTATCAGTGCTAACAAGTAGTTGCCTCAGATGTGGACGAGTGTTCAGAGGATGTGGATGAGTGCAGTTCAAACAGTGGGTGTCTGAACACAGAAGGAGTCTATGAATGCTACTGTCTCTCTGGATATGAAGGGGATGGATTCACATGTACAGGTGGGCCGAAGCTCTGGTATGATTATACATACTTATGCAGAACAACAGGGTCGATGTGAGGTTAATATACGTGAGTATAGCACCCTTTTTAGATACAGAGTATATACATTATGCACTTGTAATAAGAGAGGTTCTCTGTCTGTTACAGATATTGATGAGTGTGCTAATGGTGCCTGCAGCAGCTATGCCGAGTGCACTAATACCCCAGGAAGCTTCTTTTGCGTTTGTCACATTGGCTACCTGGGAGACGGATTACATGCACAGGTGAATTTCCAATTAAAGCCTAGATTGGGAAACTACCTGAGTGTGCTTGAGAAACAGACAACTGTTATCCATATAAACACACATGTAAGCTTCCATGCAATGTGTCTGAATGAGGGTAAAAGCTAATGCTGCAGTCTAGTTGACTTCCAACACAGACAGTCAAAATTGTCTTCAGATTGTGTCCTGTATGAGAGTCTTTGAGAAAATAATAGCCTTAGCCAACCATGACATCACTGAGTAGTGTATATACCATCATATCGTCTACGTCAGGACGTAACGTGGGTGATGCCAAGTGCTTACACTGTGTGTGGCTGCTGCTGCCAACCGCTCAAGTGCTTAAGTACCCCACAGCCATTCATTTCTGGCCTCACCACACGCCCGTAAAATAACAGAGCCAACTGCCAGGGGCACACCTCAGAATGTTTTGCTGTGAACACTTCAACTTCCCCTCAACTTACTGTAGAGGTGTGTGGTGACTTTTTTCAGATTCCAGAGTTGTTACCCGGTGAGTGTTGTTGTGTGCAGAAACAGAGCTAGCTCCCGCACTTGGTGGGGGATAATGCTCTGCTGTAAACATGTGGGTGGGTTTGGAAACCTTCTCAACTCAGAGCTATCGGGGCTGTGTAGACAGCAGCCTCCGTTTTCGTGCACTAGCTAGACTGACCTCATAGCGTTACTCGCTACAGTAAAGAAAATTGTGGCAAGGTCATTTATGCAACCATAAGTGTGGATAATGTGTGTTGGTAATGAGTATAATACTCAAAGAGGGAGCATGTTCTGCTGAACTATGTCATGTCAAGTGAGAGCGCAAATATGCGTCATTAATCCAGTTAGTTCGTGTCAGATACCTTAGGCTGGTGGCAACCACTTGACTTGGATTCTAGTTGTAGCCAAGTACGCTACTGTGATGCACATGTCTTCAAAGGAGATTAGAATGTTTAATGCGATTACAGGCAACCTACCCCGATGTCTTACTGCATTTATGGCCTTTTCATGCACTCTTCTCTTGCCAAAATTTGGGTCACGGTTCCTGATTTCTTACCTGGGTATTGCACTGCATTGCATTTCTGTATAATAAGTCAGTATAAATTTCATTTTGGGAAGAAATGTTGGAGCGTAATTGAATAATAGCAGGTCACTACAGAAGGACTTGGTTTTTGACGCAATTTGACTTAGAGTAACTTACCTCTTGCCAAGCAGCTGTTTTTTTCCCGCTCCGTATGAGCCAAATGCTCTCTCTCCTGGAAGTGCGTGTAAGTGCATGTGTAAAACTTAGTTACGATACACTTTACGTTGAAATCATTTATACGTCATCTGTCACTGTTTGTCTGTTGTTTGTCTCTAGATATTGACGAGTGTGCCGAGGGAAGTGATACATGTGACGGGAGGAAGGCTTGCCGGGAGGGGTCATGCAGGAAGGTCGGCCAATGCACCAACACCAGAGGAAGTTACCAGTGCAGCTGCAGTCATGGGTTCACAGGAAACGGCCACTCTTGTTTGGGTGGGTGTTATAGTATTGTCTGAAGACTGCCTTGGGACACAAATATGGTGGGCGTGTGCCAGAGAACTATGTCATGCATGCCTGGTGTGGCAGTTTTTATTAGGATGCTAGCGGCATTAGGGCTACGATATTGGGATTCTGTTGGCAGGGTGATGGTGCATCTAACACGCTCACCCTCATACCTCCCGCAGCTCCTTATGTCATCAGTATTGCATTGCCCAAAAAGAGAGTGGGTGCAGTCAGTAATGAAATCTAGGACAAATTCCCAGTGAAAATCAGTGGGTAATGATTCCATGGATGTTTAGTAACAATTAGCACAGATTAGATGTTTGGTAGGTGTGGCTTAATTACACAGAGTGTATTAACGAACAAAAATGCTACTGACGCCAGTATTCAAAGCGTTTTACCATACAATACAAATGAACACAGTTCGTGTCAACATACAGTGAGAATTTGTGTTGGTTGCACCCACAAGACCCTCCGTAGTGTCATTAGATTATCGAGGTACGCATAACTATACCAAAACATTGCTTCCTTCTATAGACGTTGACGAGTGTAAACGACAGCTGCACAACTGCCACACACAGGCAGCCTGCACTAACACAATTGGTGGGTTCAAGTGTGTGTGCAGGAAAGGGTTCATTGGAAGTGGAACTACCTGCCTTCCTGTACTGGCTGTGTCACAAAGCCCCTGCGGTACGTTTCTACTATGACCTAATACAGTGTTCTAAGAAATGGCGTACATGTTTGGGTAACCTTTAACAAACTTCCTGAAGCATTCACAAGCTCAAGATCATGTTGGCTATTGCTTCCCTTGCAGACATGACTAGAGGCTATGCAAACTGGTTGAAATGTCGGGGAGAAGGTGGACCGTACCACGACACTTGGAAAGCTGGCACCAATCCTCCATCGGCTGGTGACAAGGGTTCCCAGTCCTTCGGTACCCTAGACAGTGTGGAGATGAACCACCAACTAACTCCAAGCAACAACGGAAATGGTAGGGCAGACCATACATCAAAGGCAATGCAGACACTGTCTCCTCCACCAAGTCACGACATCCCTTCTCTCTCTACTGAGCAGTCCGAAAAGGTGGGAGATCTCCAGAGGGAAAGGAATTCATAGGACACCCAAATATGTGACGGAATTAAGGGTCTGGCAGCCGCCGGGACCAGGTCTGAGGAGGGGGTATGCCGAGAGAGGCAGTTCTCATGGATATTTCCACACTAAGCCTTGGCAGGGAAACGGGGAGGACGGTTCCAGTGCCCATAATAGGCAGTGGGAAACGGAGGGTCAGGATAATGTGTCAGCTGTTGATCACTACCAGAAGATGCTGGATCGGTGGTCAGAAGATGAGGGTAACAGGCAGCTAGCAAGACCAGACAGCAATCCTACCCAGGGACCCAGAGTGGGTGCAGTAGATAATGCACCCCTCACCCAGAAAGATACACACCCCCTCCACCGCTCTCACTCCCACTACCATCACCACACCACAACTGCAAACAATCACCACTCCCACACATCCCATCACCAAGCTCACACCCAACACGGGAATGCAAAGACCAGGGAGTCTATAGAGCAACGGAAGAGGGGGCCACACCCACTGGCTCACAGGCCGTCATCAAAGCCACCGCAGTACCCTAAGTCCAGAGACACCCAGGAATTATCCAGCACCCAGACCCCAACACAGCTGACAATGACGTGTGGTTCAGAGTGCCTGGAGATGTGTCGGTTCGGCTCTCCAAACACTAGATCATGTTGTATTTCGTCATCATCATTACCACTTACCTCACACCAACAGCAGTGTGACATTTTTCCTATCAATAGGTTGTGTAGTAGTTTATCACATTGAAGTTGTACAACTGAATGTGAATTAGCATCTTTTCTGTAGCGAATTCCATTACCTTTGGCTGGGTATGTTTACAATTTGGAAACATTTATCGCTCTGGCCGGTAATTATTGTAGACCTTTACTGGAGGTGAAGGATATTGCATTCCAATGTGCATATTACGAGCTCCTAGGTAACAGGAAATCCTAGATGTAGGCAACTGTTGACTTCCTGCCAGTGATCCTAGGTAACAGGAAATCCTAGATGTAGGCAGCTGTTGACTTCCTACCAGGTGGGTGTATAAAAGGCCAGGGCCTAGTCTGCTCAAGTCACAACTGCAGGGAAATTGTACTCCAGAAAGATGGCATCACAATTGTGGCTAGCAGCAGTACTAGTCTCCACCGTCTTCCTTTGTGCACAAGTACATGGACAGATCTCAGGTATTATACTACTGTAACAAAAACGTATACTTATTCAGCCGAACACTTGATCCAATGATGCTCTTATTTGTGTGCAGAGCTGAGAATATTTTTTGCTGAGGTGGATTTCAGGGAGATTGAAGGGGTAGGAGCTATCACAGCCAGCATCATCAAGGAGGGCGTGCTCGTATCGGATCTCTACATGAACATCATTCCCCTAACCTATGAGAGTTTCGATGCCGCCGGTATTGCACTCGATGAGAACAGACGGAGAGAAAGACCGGATCCCGCTGAGTGTAAGTGAAAGGAATGAAACCAGATTGAAGCAAATATTGTGCCACTCTGAACAGTCTGTAAGTAGCTACTTCACGAAAAACCATGGCATTGCAACATCATGCACATTGGTTTAGCAGTCACAACCTGGTAGGTATCTCAGGGTATAATATGTAGCCATCATCATTTTGCTACAGATGATGTGAATGGCAGAATGGACTTTGACAACAGTGTCCGCCAGTTAATACTGAGTGCCGGGATCAGCAGCGATGATTACACCATTTCCATCCCCGTCACAAGAGACTCGTTTAACGAAGCAAGCGAGGGGTTCATGATCGTTATGAGACCTGATAACGAGAGGAGCAACCCAGTGGACGTGGCCAACATTAACTTTCAGAACAACGGTGTTGCTCTTGGAGTCATTGATGATGATGATCGTAAGTTGTATGATTCTAGCTCCACAGATGACCACACATACACATAGCTGTAGATAAGTGTGATTTATGGAATCTTACTTGCGAGGAAATCCGTGAATCCTACACAACAGCACACGTACTGCTTCTGTTGTGAGTGAGCACTGACGCCTAGACTGAACCTTGTTTGGGTCCGGGTTTGGCATAGTGTGGCATGTAGTCTGGCGTGTAGTTTAGACTAGCACTTGAGTGTGTCAGTTAGCTATTAAAATTTAGTTCCACACCTAATAACACAATCACATCACCACAGCTATCGTCCTGGGGTTCGAGAGGAGCTCATACACTGTTGCAGAGGCAGATATAGTAGTAGAGAATCTGGTGGCACTTGTGAAGCAAGAGGGACTGGTCACCGAGCAGACTATCACAGTAGCTGTTAACTCATTTGAACTCTCTGCTACTGAAGGTAATCACGTAGTTTGTGAGTCAAAAAAATTTCAAATTGGTTCTTTATAGAGATGGATTACCAGAGTATTGAGCAACTGGCAGTAACCTTTCAGCCAGGGCAGATGAGGATAACCCTGCCGTTCACTATCAAAGACGACAACACCACTGAGCCTCCCGAGAGCTTTGGGCTACTCGTGTCTCGCAAATTGGACAACCCTAATCTGGTCCTGAGCACCGACACTGCAGTAATCACCATTCCCGACACAGATTGTGAGAAAATAGCCAGCAAATAGACTGTGAAGTTTTTATCCTCTACTCTGACAGTGCTCAGGATTCTATTTGGTGAGGTGATATACATTGTTGATGAGGGTGGCAGTGTTGAAATCTGTGTCAACATCGAGGACACTAACTTTGTCATAGACGAGCAACTGGTCTTTACTCTTGGTCTTGCGCCAGTTGGAGGAACAGCAAGCGGTAAGAAGCATCTAGTCTGGAGTTTTTTTTAAAAAGGTCCTATGATATCGATCCTCCCAAAATTATATAGCACACAAGGATCCTACACACGTTGTTCCGCTTGTGAAGGCGTAGTTAGGAATTAGAGAAGGTTCGGCATTGTCGAACCAATCCGAACCCTCTTACTCTCCTTAGCTAACCTCTAATACCTCCCCCCTGTCTTTCTCCCATCTTCCCTTCCTATTCTCTCTCCTATATAGCTGAGGACTTTACCATCCGGGAAAACTTCTTGGCACTCAATACTGACTTCAGAGAGGCGTGTGTGACAATAGATGCCCTCCCGGACAATGTTCCTGAGCCAACTGAGAATTTGACACTCACCATCATCCCTCAGGGCCCTCTACCTGAAAACATTATCACAACAACCACCACAACGGTCATAATAAGTAAGCCAACTCTAAGAAAATCCCTGAGAGCTCTGCATGGTATAGTATATGCGACAACACACTCTCTCCCATCCCCGGCGAATCCCTTACGACACCGACCTGTTTGTTCTAGATTCGAATGAATGTGAGGAGAGCAATAATGACTGTCTTGATGATTCCCTCTGTACTGACACACCTCTGGGCTTCGAATGCCGTTGTCCTGCCGGATTTGCTGACGTGGATGGAAATGGAAGAAACTGCGTCGGTAGGTAGCTATCGGCAGCATTACGATTGTCTAAGCATGTGTGTTATAACAAATATGCTTGCATGTTTGTTCCAGATATTAACGAGTGTTTGGAGGATCCAGGGAACTGTGATGCCAATGCCCTCTGTATCAACACAGTGGGTTCTTTTCAGTGCATATGTGTGAGCGGCTTTACCGGGACTGGACGGATATGCACAGGTACGGGTCACATATAGAATTCAGTGCGTGGTTTTTACAATCTCCTTGGTGTAGTCTTGATATTTTTATTGGGTGTGGCTTTGTGCGCTTTGTTTTGTATAGTTTGCCTTGCATTATGTTTGCAATTGCTTTGTTGTTCGCTATTTGAATATTTCCTTGCTGAATGATAAGTTGTGAAAGTTGCTTTTGTTCTCATTCCAGATTTGAACGAGTGCGAAGTGGGTCTAGAGAGCTGCGATCCATCGGCCGACTGCATCAACACACAGGGATCATTTGAGTGTCTGTGTCGTGAGGGATTCACCGGGGATGGGAGAGAGTGTGTGGTCCTGCAGCCCCCACGAGTGAACGAGTGTGAAACCGGTGAGCACGACTGCAGTCCATTGGCATCTTGTATCGACTTGGTGAATGGTTTCGAGTGTCGCTGTCTACCTGGCTACAGTGGAAACGGCAGGATATGTAGAGGTACGACATATATAGCTAATAAGACTCTGTATACTGGGATGCATCCAGGGAGCATAAAGTGTCAAGTAAATTCAAGTCGCAAGCTAATGTTATCCTGTTCTCATTCGCTCCAACAGATGTGAATGAGTGTATGACAGGTCTTGCGAGGTGCTATCCTCACTCTCACTGTTTCAACCAGGCAGGAGGCTACCAATGTATCTGTGATGCTGGCTACACCACCGTAGGAAGACTATGCATGGGTAAGCCAGGTATATTTATGTGTGTGCTTATTTTTATACTAATCTACTCCACTCCAGATGTCAATGAGTGCAGAATTGGGACTCACAGCTGTGATGAGAACGCACAATGCATAAACACTCCCGGCAGCTACCAGTGTCAATGTAATACTGGATTCACTGGAGACGGGTTCACATGCAGAGCACAAGAGCAAAGCCAAGAGCCACTAGAGTGTGGTCCAGGATATGCACCGTGGGGCCTCAAATGCATGGGTCAGCTAATATTCTTTCTATAGGGCATTTATTTTTTGGCCATTTGTGAGTGCATGCAGAATTAATGACGTCTCACTATCTTTCCTTCAGATACCGATCGCTACTTGAATTTTGTTTTGCATGTGCACAGGGCATTAATTGCATATATTTGTTATGGGGTTCCATTTTTTCTCCAACAGACATCAACGAGTGCATATACGGGAGCAATAACTGCGATCAGAATGCCGTCTGTACCAATACCCTGGGAAGCTTCGAGTGCCAATGTATTGCTGGGTACACTGGAGATGGCATTACATGCACACAACAACTGGAGTCCAACACGGAACCTTGCTGTAAGCTCCCTTGAGTTGCTACTAAACAGCGTCACTGTGCTATAAAGAATAGAAAACGAAGCAAAATCCTTTTAGTGTATGTAGAAAGCTAAAGTTAACGTTTGCTGCTACTTCCTTACAGTACAACTTGACGACCAGGTGGACGAAGAGACTACCACAGGAAGAACAGGAACATCAAAGACCAAGACGCGCAGAAGCAGTCGTCGGCGTGGTAGGAGGCGAACGAAGACGAGAAATACTGGCCGAACGAGGACAAGAACCGGCGCAGGAGATTTGCCTCTGTGCCAACCTGCTGCAGACTCAATACCTTCTCAACCTGCTGCAGACTCGACACCTTCTACCAGAGGGACACGTCGCCGTACCACTGGCACTCATAGCACAAGGAGTGGGACCAGGAACTAACGGAGAGGCACTGCAAAACTGACTAGCCACCTCCACACAAACGTACAATGTAGTGCTGAACACTGGCCTAGAATATACAGATTTATATATGACATTTTGCTTGTGACCATTATAAAACTATGCCACAGTATAATAGTTTTATGAGGTGAACTACCGCAATAGGTGGCCATGTGACATGTTGAGAGCGCCGTCGCACATCGAAAGATGGAGACGTACTAGGGGTAGGAGCAGGAAGAATAGCAGTATTCTCCATTTAACTTCCAACAGGGCCATGGCAGCAACCTACAGTGGAACCCCGCTTAACGGACACCCCTCTACAACGGACACCGCGTTATAACGAACAAACTCGCAGGTCCCGATTGTTTTATCATAGAGTTCCATACGTTCATAACCCCCCTCCAGAACGGACACCCCGCTACTCGTATAACGGACAGTAAAACCAATCCCAATGCTTTTCAACCTAGAAAAAAAACCGGCGTAACGGACAGTTTGCCGCACCCCCTGCCAGCGAATACTAGTAGGCGAATGCTTGGCGAGCGGGAGCGAGCACACAATGATTGTATCTGCAAGAGCCATCCTAGAACCACGAAGATTGGAAAGAGGTATCATACAGCCTCGGCCAGGTATCGAAGAGCGCAGCGAATGCCAGCGAATAGACGAGAGTTCTTTCGAATCGATACGACGGCTAGGCAGCGTGTAAAAATTTTGAAAATAGTTCCCTATCACGCAAGCCACGCTGATACAGGCGAGCCTCTCTCTGCCCAGGAGTCTCACGGGCACGATGTTCTCTTTCCCTCTCTCTTCGACGACGAAGGGCATCTTCAGGAGAGTACGGCCGGAGCACGCGCGTACGTAGCTATACGCACGTGACGACGACATCACGCAGCATGTGAAAATTTTGAAATCCTTTCGGATAAAAAGAGGCCGGAATATTTTAGCGCGCATACCGTCATCATCATCATCATCATAATCATGTTGTAATCTTGTCTAGAGTGTTTTTAAGGATGTTTAACAGTGAATTAGTGACATAGAATTGTGTAATACTGTATAATCAGGCAAAACCCCTCAATAAAGGACAGCCCGCTATAATGGACAAAATGTTGTGGCTCTAAGCTGTCCGCCTTAGAGGGGTTCCACTGTATTCAGTTACTGAGTTAACAGTAAAGCTCGGGGGCCATGCATCTCCTGAGTACAGCCAGCTGCTCCAGCATTGCGCACCCGCAGTATGCCAAACCACTCACATACACCCACACACACCCGTGCTCATAAACTGACTCCATCTCAAGATGCCAAAAACAGTCCAAGTGGACCAGTATGGCAGTATGACCACCCTGGTAGCTGCCCGCAGTGTTTGCATTCTCATGTGACTATCGCTTCGGGGGTCGCAACGAAAATGCACGCACAATATCACCTGCAATGTAATGAACCGCGCTAGACGAAACACATCAAAATCGTTAAGGTCTTTATAAGGGACCACATGGGACGTATGTAATGGTACTGTGCCACAATGGCAACGTTAAACAGCAGATGCTGTTAGACAGGCTATTATTCCACTCCTGCCCATTCAGAGGTGGAGTCTCGAGAGAGGAGGTCATACTGGTCCACCGAAGTAGACTTGCTGCGACGACACACACAACAGCAGCAGCACAGGGAGCACGCCAGAGTAAGGAGCAGGAAGACGAGTAGCAGGACACCTCCTCCACCGGCCAACACAGCAATCATAACCACATGTTCATCTGCAGGAGAACATCACCACATGTGAGCGCATCAAGTAAAAATAGGGGTTATGACACGCAGGGACAAGTTTGGGTTTGTGAATGAATTACGGAATAGAGAATTTGTATGCGCGACGATTAGCCAGAGCATTACGCGCAACACGCATTGCGCTCTACTTGAGGGATTTCCCCTCCGCCCATGTATGGCTCGTGCTATGCTCGCATACACAGGGAAACATGGCAAACACCCTATTTTTACTTGATGCGTTCACACATATTATATCAAGAGGCATTTCTATATATTACTTGCTTAGATTATGTAAACAACTGCCTGCTGCAAAGACTTTTTACCACTGAGTTTTCCCTACCTGATGTAGGTGTGGATATAGTGACAGCGGGAGGCTTAGGGTAGATATCACCCACACTTCCATTGAGAACAAAGTTATTCTCCTTTGCAACTCCGACCACTGACAGGTAGACGACTTTGTCTGTTAGTTCCACCACAGGAGGAGCAGTGCTTGGGACCACTGTCGGCCTGCGTTGCCAGGGGTGGTAGTTTATGTTTAGTATCTGAGACAGAATGTCAGCTTTGTTGTTGTAGGCATTCAAATTGAAATAACACTCCCATAGTCACTGAAAACAATGTTCCCACTTGGTTATCGTTTGGACCGATCCCAGTGTCCACAACAAAATCATGTTAAATTGCGCCCTGACTGAAATCAGAGCCACCAATGCTCCCAGATCCATCAAGGACAAAGAAAATGTCCAAATTGATTTTGCAGCCTGCAAAAATGTTAAACATGTGGCACACCGGTTCAATACAGGTTAATTATGAAGTGGCAGTACTATGACCACAGCACCTTCTCTCTCCTCCAGTATATCAACTTGCTCCACGAAGTATATCTCCGTATCAGAAACTCCTCCTACATCAGAGTGGTAGTAGGTGAGCCAGAACCGTGCTTGCCCCACGATGTCTCCGGCCAGAGGAATAACGGCAGTCCCCGAGATTTCGAGGTAGAAAAGGTACAGTCTCGCAACCAGTCCCGCGAAGAACGGCTTGCCGAGATCGTTTATCGTCACGGTTCCCCAGTCGATACCGAACGCTGCACGGATGGCGATCCTCAATTCCTCGAGTTGTGGTGACGAGCTGACCGTGTCCAAGTGGCTCTGTTGAATACCCCAGAGCCCACCACTAGAGTAGCTGCTGTTTGCGCCGTCTGACGTCTCTACAAACGCCAGTCTCCTCAGGAGACGATGGTCGTCTCCGAAGGCGATGGGGGACGCGTCCACCTTGGCGATCACAGCCTGAACCACGTTCGAACCAGTCGCTCCGTCTACTAGCGTACGGTCGTGTGCATCATACCCCAATGAAGGAGATAGAAGCATATAATAGCGCAGCAGCACATTATTAGCACGGCGACGAATAGGGGGTGTTACTAGTCTCGTGCCCAGGACCACCGACTCTCTCAGAGGAAAAGGGTCTGGTTGGACTATTGAGCGTTGGTTGTGCTGACTCGACAGTCTTACTTTTGGGACACCCAATCAGATTGCACGAGATGTATTTGCCACGACCGTGAATATCACATGATGTTATGTAATATAGATCGTAACGCAGCTTCGCGGATTCTCGAACGAAACGGGCTTTTCTGCGCATGCACTCGACAACAATGTATGAGTCAGCACAACCAAGAGAAACGAACCTCAATAGTCATTTCCTCCCTTTTGCTGCATGCATGAGGGTGGGGTCTGGGCACGATTGGTTGTTTATACGGCGACCACACCACCAACCGCGCGCGATAATATTGCGCTTGCGCAAGAGGGAGCCGACACTCATTCAGGAGCGACACATTTCTGTGACAGTGGTGACGTTAAGGGGGTTGTTCGGAACACCCATACCACCCTGGATACGCTCTGGCCATCGACTATACGGTGACCACCCGTTCAGACGTTGCCCGGCCCCTTCGTCCATTGCCCATGCGCGCGACCCCTCGCGTCGCTACTTTACCACGATGTGCGGTTGAGATGCTTCGGACAAGGCTTCGAATGAGGGAGCATTCATAGCTCTGCACTATACTAGTAGATGATGGATACGTGGCACACAGCCGGCCTGTGGCCAATTGATAGGGACTAAAGGTGCAGAATCCATTTTGTGTGCCGACAGACAAACCACAGTCGTGCGCGCGGTGGATGGGTGTTCCCCTGTAATTCATGTTGCATTCCCTCTTTTTGCTTGCACTCGCTGCGCGCGTATGGTCTGAGAAGCTGAACATGAGATGTATGAGGACCCACTGGGGTGCTGGCATGTTGCACGGGATAACAGAGTCGGAGCTGTCGTTTTCGGATGATAATTCTTACGTGACGTCACATGTCGAACATGGTAACAAGAACGATTACTGCACACACGATCAATGGACTCGCGTATGAAATACGTGAGATTCGAAGTGATGAGAGAACTCTGCAAACAAACACGCCCAAGGAGAATGAGAAATACATGATCTATCGTGAGACACTTGCTGCTTTCAGCACGATCGCCATGGGGAGGAGTCAGATATCCTGACGCCACTAAAGAGGAAGCTGGGAGATACACACTCTCACTCCTCGTGTCCCATACGTATGCGATTGTGTATTGGAACCGTGATGTGCGACGAGACTGACGCAATGCTGATGGGTGATCGAATAACTACCACGTATCGAGGACTTGATCCACAAGTGCTCCTATACCGCAAGTCAGGAAACAGTCCAGGGCATTCCCGACGACCAGCTGGACGACAGGAGGCCAGGATGAACAAGTGTGAGCCTTCATCCAGGACAACTGCATCCGCACGAACACCGACCCCGAACTCGGCCTCCGCGGGACGGCACCTGGCACCCGGACGTCTTCGTCGAGCCGGCGAGACCTTCTTCGCTCCCTATCTCGACACCGGCGTCCCCCCGACGACGGAGGATCCCGACCGACCCGACAAACCTGCAGCACGCCTCGGCTTGCCTGGGACCTCGCCGGCGACGGCGCACCGTGGCGCCCGCCGCCGCACAGCCGGTTCCTATGATTTCCCGGATCCGATGCTGGATCTTCGCCCAGAACCGCTCCACGAACGGCGCCTTCCAACCGACCCCTCTTTCGCAGCCGACCGCCGACACGTTCCTCGGCCCGTGCACGGAGATCGCCGCCAGCTCGACGTCCTCGACCACAGCCGCCCTTCTGCCGGACATCAAGGTCGCGGACACGCACCTCGAACTCAGCGCACCTGGTCGTTCAGCCTCGGGACTGGGACCGGGACACTGTGCGCGGGGGATGGCGGCTGAGCGCCATCCAGTCGGGTACGCGCGCGGACCGACCAGCTCTTCGGTTCAGTGAACCGTAACGACACCGCTTTCGACTCTCCGTAATCGCATCGGCACCCACCCTTCCGGCGGAGAATCAACGCCTCACCGTCGCGGAGAGCAGCGCGCGTTCGCATACTCGGCCTAGCTATCCAAATCACAGGAGGTACACAGCGCTGACCCTCGGGATTCGCGGCTCGATGAGTTCCGCTCGGGAACCGTGCCCCTCACCTCGAGACACTACACCATCGCCTCGATCGCTTCGGACGCCGACAACGAGCGGGACCCGTTCACCTTCCGCGACGCGGACGCTCGAATCTCGCGCCACGAATTCGGCTGGGGGACCGCGACGCCGCAACCAGGTGAGCGGCTACCTGCTCGTACCCTCCGGGCGACGTGAAGGGAGCAACGTGTTCGTTACCTGTCGGCCTCGCGGCCTCCGAGGAGTGCGCCCCACGGGGCGAGCGGGGCGCAAACCAGCCGTCGGACCGCATCTGCGCCGACGGTCCATCCTCACCGCACACCCTGCGCCGCGGAAAAACGAGTTCGTCAATGGGACCTCAGGATCTCAAGGAGCTTCACGCTCCGAACGGCCTGGCCGTCGAGCGATCGCCGAGGTGTTCAACGTGACGGCAGCCGACAACTTTCTGGACAGACACACCGGTTCGCTGCTCTTCAATTTCGACGGATCGCTCCGCAAGCGGCTCGGCGACACCGGCGGGGTCAGCTCGGGTTGAGCCTCCGATTCTGAAACAAGAAGCAGGAGCGCCGTGTTCCACACCGCATCGCCGCGTAGCGAGGCGAAACTCCCGTCTTGATTGATCGCGAAACAGCGGCGGGGACCGCCAGGGGCGCCGGTGTCACACCGCATCGCCCGCATAGCGGGCGAAAAACTCCCGTCGTTGATCGCGACACAAATGCGGGGCCGCCAGGATGCCGGCATACGCCGCCCCGCGGGCGGAGGCGCGAAGGGCGTTTCCGTCGTTCGATTAGCGTTGTCCGCCTTGGTGACACCGGCAAGGATCTGCGCTATGGCGCGGCTGCGTTCAGAAGAACCTCAGTGAGTAGCTGATCCGGAAGCCGCGCCCCATCTGCGGGGCGAGATCCTGATCAGCGAGTGGATGTGTGGCGGGTACTCGCGTGTCGGTGAGTGTAGGAGCGCGGAGCGAGATGTTGGAGGTCGTATGGTGCATGACGAAGAAGCGTAGAGGCGAAATCCAGCAACCGCGTAGACGGCAAAGGCGACTTGTCTCGCACTGATATAGCGCCGTCCACGCGGGAGGCCACAGCGCACCCTGCGAGCGCAACCGGACGACCGGGAGGTCAGACATCAAGTGTCCGCCAAGCGGAGTGGATGCGAGCGGCCACGTACTCGTCGTGCGGTGATTTTGCGTCAACGTAGGAGCGTCGCCACACTTCCGACGACGCCGATGGATAAGTGCCACCTAGACTCGAATCCCTGGTAGGTGGCGTCGACTGCAGGAATTCGAGGACCGAAGCCCCCCTTCCTCTCTCCCTGGGCGGCCAGAAGATGAAACCGGAGATGTCGTAGCGGAACGCGCTGATGCTGCCATGAACCGTTCCGAACTCGCCGCGAGGCTCAGTCGAAGACAAGGGACCGTTCCGGATGATCGAGGTTGGGGTGCCGAATCGAAAAAAGCCAGGTTCCGACATGCGGACCGAAGGTGTAGAGCTCCTCACAAGATGGGCTGCGAGAGGAAGGGCGGCGGTGAAGCCAGAGGCGGTCGAGTCGCTCAGCGAGAAAACGGGCCCCGGCGCTGCGGAGGCGCCCAGGAGTGCGGACCACCACGTCCGGCAAAACGTTATTCCTCGTGTCCCAAATCTCGTGTTCTTACTCCGATCTTCCCCTCTCGTGCTCGGCCTCCTCCCCTCGCCGGGGCATGCTCCGCAGCCCGGAAAGTTCAACGGCGTCGTAGGAGTTTCGTTCAACCCGCAGCACACAACAAAGCAGGACTTAGCAGGCCACGACGCCTGGATCTCGTTGTGGCGAAGGCCGCGAGCGACTTCTGCTCGGACAGCAGGCCCAGGGCCTCCTCACCATCGCTAGTACTCCCGCAGAAGCCCCCAGAGTCCGACCCAGAATGGTCAACAGACCGGACAGGCTCTTCAGTTCGCCGGGAGCACGAGAGGACCGGTTGTCGAAGTGTGTGGCAACCCTTCCGGACCACCCGCCGCCAGGCTCTCGATATCGTCCAGATCGTAGTCGCTGTAGCGGACGGTGAACTCGGCCCCTTGAAGAGTGCGTCGAGCTCGCGAATCGAAGTCCGCCGGAACTGCCGCAGTTCATCGCGAACCGTCCACCGCGAGTTCCGCCTCGTGTCGCGTTAGCCTTCTGCCCCCTCGTGGTGCTCATCCCCTTCCTTCTTAAGAATCGAGCTGACACATCCTCGCGGCCCCGTGCGATCCTGAAATTCCGACTGCCGAAAGGAACGCCGTAAGGGAAGTACAGCCGCGCGCTGCAAAAAAAGGAGAAACAGGTGCGGTCGCGGAAAACATTCCGAACCCCACTTCCCCTGATCAACGAAGCGGCGCCGGAGTTCTCGACAACTCCCATGGAGAGGAGATAGTCGTTAGTGCGATTCGAGTACCCCCCCGCCCCATACGAACCAGCCGGTGCGGCAGCCTGCGCGCGGATCCGACGCGGATGCCTCATACCGCCTCGAATAGTCGAGATTGGCCTGTCCCCGGAAGCGCGCAGCGGGGAAGCGCAGGTGGAACACCTCGAGATGACGTCACGGCGCAGCCGAGGAGTTCGACCCGTAGAAGCAGGTGGCCGCGGCCGCGCACCACTCGATCCGCTCCGCCCGAAACGGGTCCACCGCGGAACCCGTGTCGGCGGACTGACGCCGAGGTACCCGCTGCGTACTCCTCATCATGATGAAGTACCCGTCGCACGTCGAAAAACCCCGCAACCACCGGACGGGCCGAACCGGCCCGAAGCTGAGTAACGCGAACGCCCGGGGAGACTCCAGAAGTTCTCAGCAGCGTTGGGCTGATTCGTTCTGAAGATCGAGCCCCTCCATCGGTTACCGAAACCGAAGGTC